AAAATCATATCTGTACAAGATTGAGCCAGGAAGACAGTTTTAGTATGCGTCAGGCTTGTCCAAGTGTAACAATTATTGTCTCTGGTTTAACTTTTAATAAATAATAGTTTAAAAAAACTAAAAAACACGCTTTTTGTAAAATTCAACTAAAAAATAGAAAATAAATTTTAATATTAAAAAAAATAGAAAATAAATTTAATATAATAAAATATTTATAACTAATAACACCATGCACGCCACGTTTTTTTTTAAAATAAAACATATTTTACACTATTTTCAATTTAAATTTATTAAAATTTATTTTCTATTTTTAGTTGAATTATATTTAAAGCGTGTTTTTTTAGTTTTTTTAAACTATTATTTATTTTTCATTTTATAGTAAAATTTTCTATAAAAGCGTATTTTTAAAACTATTAAGTACTTTATTCCTGCCTTATCGACTATAGATAAAAATTATATAAATTGGCAAAAATCTTCTTTTGCAAATTGAGGCATGAAATAAGCTTATCAAATTACTGTATTGTCATGGGTCCTCGATAAACCTACAAAGTTTGAATGAAATCTGGCCGTTTAAAGTGGGTCAAAATCGCGTCTAAAGGAGTCGGTTACAAACATACATACAAGAGAAGCTAATATAAAGCGTGTAAAAACTGACCCTTCGCCACTACACAGTTATATGTATTACCTGCATACGAATAAGACACCGAATTTACATGCTATGTTTAGGAGCGATGCATTCACTTTCACATCTCGTCGTCGTCAGACTGTCACCAAATTAGAAAATTGTGAAACGTGAACTTTATAAATAAACCGCTTATTCTCTGAAGATTCAGCTACAACTCACAAGTCATGTAGCTTCAGAAATATATTCGAATTCCGGTTGATGTAATAATATACAACGGTTTTAAGTATCTATTTTTATTGTGTTCATCACTACATAGTATAAAACAAAGTCGCTTTCTCTGTCCCTATATCTGTCCCTATGTATGCTTAAATCTTTAAAACTACGCAACGGATTTTAATGTGGTTTTTTTAATAGATAGAGTGATTGAAGAGGAAGGTTTATATGTATAATAACATTCATTAAATAGTGGAGAAATCAATAATAAATTACAGTTTCCGAAGCGAGTAACAACTTGAACAACACGTATCAAGGACCGATAGCAAAACAGTTGGTAAAAACTAATTTTATTCAACCGTGTTGTTCTAGTTTTTAACTGTGCTTACTTACTTTCGTGATCTCTATTAATGAAAAGAGTTTTTAATTGTAAGTGGATTGTGTTTGGCGCTCCTGTGGATTGAAGTAGATCGTAGTGACGAATTAAAAAAAAAAAGGGTTAAGAGAAAATAAAAAAACAAATACTAAACGACTTGTAACGAGGTCTCTATCCCGATGTTAGATTTCCAATAGACATCAGATTCCGCCTTGAGGTCGAAGCCACAATTGTATCGTAATAACGGTGTTCATACATCACACTGAACGTAGGGTTGCTTCGCAGTAGAAATTGGTAAATTTTTGCACCTACCTGCCGCGCGGATTTACAATACGCATATCTTTTTTTTATTGCTCTTGTAGGCAAACGATATCATACGACCCACCTGATGGTGAGTGGTTTCCGTCGCCCATGGACTTCAGCAATGCCAGGGGTAGAGCCAAGCGGCTGCCTACCGTTAATCGTTACCTTTTTATCACATGATTTCTTTATTACTCGTTTTAGAAGTTGTCTGTTAAACATGTGCTAGGCTACTATATGTTATCTATATATATAAAAGAAAGTCGTGTTAGTTACACTATTTATAATTCAGGAACTGCTGAACTGATTTGGCTGAAAATTGGTGAGGATGTAGCTTAAAACCAGGAAAAGGACATAGGATATTTTTATCACGTTCCCGTGGGACGCGACATAAAACGTGGTACAACAAAACGCAACTGATATGGAATAACAAAACGCAACTGACAGCTAAACGTAATATATTCTATGGTTAATTATAGTAGAATTTTGAAGTGGGACTTTTTGGCGGGAACGCGAGGAGTGAAGTTGTGTGATTTGGTTTTATTTTGTCTATTTAGTGTTTCTTCGGGTTTAAATGTGTAATAATGGTGGTTTATTAACTGTTTAATATCTGTGAAAGTGCAAAAATGTGGGAAAATGAAACAAAGCCGCTGGACGTATCTTCTCGGGATCCTCCAAAAAGTCCACTGAAAAAATCTTAGTAAATGACCACCATTTTACTGAGATTATATTTCATCCCATATCATCTCAATTCATTTCATTTAATTTCATCCCAGTTGATTAGTGTCTCAAATTAATCATCTTCATTTCATTTCACTCCATAATATCATTTTTCATAAAAACATGAATAATATAGATTAAAATAAGACATGACTTAAAGGTCTCAGTTACCAGGTCATAAAATCTCTTAAAAAAAATTTTTTTTGAAGTTGACCGGTTGATGTGTTTGAAACAAACCGTGTGGCGGAACAAAGTTCACCGGGTCCACTAGTATAGAATAATTGGTACCTACCTACCCTTTGTATTTCAACACTTTAGTCTAGTCAACAAGTTCAAAAACGTGTTAAATAGACATAAAGCTCCTAAAAATATGTACGATAGCTCATTGGATGCGGAATGATGTCTACAAAAATGTTTTTTAAGGGCTTATTAGCACATAAAAAATTGCGATTGTTATAAACAAAATAAGATTTAAAAAAAAGGAATTTTGTTTTTCCTTAATAATTTCTAAAATAATGATATTTAAGGAATTTTGAAAAAAGATCCTGAAAGAGGAGGAAATTTCCAATAAAAAAGTCCCAACTCCCGGAATTCTATCTCTATTATTTATAATTTTTTTTAACGCTGAAAATAGGGCTCCGCGAGGTCGTTACGGCATAAGCGCGCCGTCTAAAAAGCCGGTATATCACCTAAAATAATTTTTTTATAGTATTAAATAACAATTAAAAAATTTGAATAAATTATGGTGTAATCTAAACACTTGAACGAAAAAAACTCGGTGAAAAAAATTTTTTATATCGATTATCCAAAAATTTACACCATTGTTAATTAACTAATTTTTTTCCAATCTCTGTTTTTATAAATTACGGTATAAAAGTTTAAATAATTGATCTAAAAAATTTTCCCTTCGTGGAGCTCTTATCATTTAGGTACTTAATAAAGTAACGCAACATTTTTTTTTTAACTTTTATTATTTTGATCATTATAATTTTTTTTAATTAACAAATAATGAAATTTCTAAAAAATGTTCTGAAAAATTTTTTTTTCAGTAATATCTTATTATTGCTGTTTTTGCATCTACCATAGGTAATAATTAACATTGAAAAATTTGTTTTACGCTATTTGTTAAGAAATTGTTTATAAACAAATAGACTATTTTGGGATTTAAAAAAAAAAATTACCATCTTATTGTATAGGTGAAATAACGATTTAAAAAAAAATATCTTAAATAAATTTTTTAATTGCTTAAAATGGTTTTTTTCATATTTCAATTGTTTAAATAATTAGTTAAGAAATTATTTTTTTCTTAAAAATTATCATTGACTCTTTTCAACGGATTAACAAAGAAATACATTTTTTTTATAAATAATTTCATTGTTTATTAACTTAACAATTTGTTATAAACAATTAATATTAATCGTTATATTTTTTTCGAAAACTACAAAAAATTACAAAAACAACCATATGTAACAAAATATAGAAAAAAAAAATTGTTTATTTTTTACAGCATTTTTAGATATTATATAATAATGAAATTACAGCAAAATTCCTTAAATACCATTATTTTAGAAATTATTAAGGAAAAACCAAATTCCTTTTTTTTTAAATCTTATTTTGTTTATAACAATCGCAATTTTTTATGTGCTAATAAGCCCTTAAAAAACATTTTTGTAGACATTATTCCGCATCCAATGAGCTATCGTACATATTTTTAGGAGCTTTATGTCTATTTAACACGTTTTTGAACTTGTTGACTAGACTACTTATATATTTGTGTGAATTGATACGATACATGGGAAATCTTTCTCCCAGTTCCTCAGCGTTAAAAAAAGGTCACAGAAACTCCGAATTATTTAATGAATCGTTAAAAATTTAATGCAATTACAGAATGCAAAGCGATAAAACTATAATTGAACAGCAAAAATATCTAAAGATAAAAATATGATATTATATAAAGATTTTGACAAAGTAGACTAGTCCTAGAGAACAAAATGTTAATATTATAATTACATAAGGAAGAAGTAGTGACTAAAAATTTATTTTATAAATGTCGCAAAATAATAAATAATTGTTTCCTCCACGACTTTATTTATTTATGTTATGTGTATTAATCATGTTTGTTATAGTCACGTTAATCTTTGATCACACCAACGCTTTGTTATTTAATGTTAAATAGTTCACGATCGACATTGTATTATAAATTGTATTTTTTTTATTTACTTCTCTTCTCTTTTTATTTACTGAATGTTGGTTATTTATTCTGTTGAATTCATTAAATGATCGAATTAAATGACATTTGAAACGGTACCTTTTATTCCTATTAACAAAAATCTATATTTTTTGGCTCTAACACAAAATAGAACAATGAAATAGTCTGACGGGTCATACTTTGATCTTATGTCTGAATAGGAGTGGGATTACTCACTTTGTGATGTCTTGGGCTTCCGGTAACCACTTACAACCATTTGGGCTGTGAACTCGATCACCTAGTCACGCAATAAAATTTATACATTTGAGACAAGAACCCTGTATAGTGAATACGAAATCGAACGCGCTTGCAGTGGTACCAGTGGTTTGAGTAAAAGCGAAATTGAGTAGATCAGGAAAAAGTATCAAATTCCTACGTCTTCTATTATACATGTAATTGAAAAACTATTTCTACCTGCTTCGTCTTTTAAGTAATCATAGTTTTTTTTGCATAAAAATTTCCTTTACAATTCGTATAAGCTCTGCTTAGACTGTTATTGTGTAACGAAATATACTTACGTAACTTCCCGGCATTCTGTTTGAGGAGTCCACAATAGAAGCGCGACGGCGACCCACCATAGTCTCTGGGGACACACCAACAAACATTAGTTTTGGTTGTACCTGAGTGTGTTGAATGAAGTCGCGACATTACAAGTATAAGGCCTCGACTTGCACACACGTGTTTTATTTATAGCAACTCGTGGGCTTATCTTTACGAATATTTATTGTATTTCAAGAGATTTAAGCCCAATTTTGTTGTGGCCGAATGAACGTTTTCACAAAACGATTAATTAGGTATTTTTAGTTATAGTTACGTCTTTGGCTATTAAATGTTTTAATTTATCGAGGTACTGTTTACTGGTGTAAGTTTTACGAGAAATTCAGTTTTTTTTTAAATTGCGGTTGGTTTTAGTCGTAAGCACCACGGATGCCTCCAGTAAAACCACTGAGTCTCTCGCCGGATCATCCCAGTGGGTCGCGATTCCGATCCGCTGGTAGATTCTGAGAAGCACTGCTCTTGCTAGGGCTAGAGTTAACAAATTCTCTCAAATTGAGCCCGTGAGCTAACCTACTCGTCAGGGTAACTGGAATAGCCTCTTAGGCTACCGGCAAATATGTAAGGATAAACTCAAAAAACTCGCATCCAGTGCGATCATACTCTGTGCACCATGTAATATAGTCAGTACATGAATGTAGAGAGAGAGAGAGAAAGAGAGAGAGAGAGAGAGAGAGAGAGAGAGAGAGAGAGAGAGAGAAAGAGAAAGAGAGAGAGAGAGAGAGAGAAAGAGAGTATTCTTTATTGTACACTAAAAAACAAATAAACAGTGCGATATATTAAATACAAAAAAAGTACAATTGGCGGTATACATATAAGGACAAATACATACATACACATACACACATCATACACATAGGTACATACATATATCCGTAGATATAAATACAATTGTACAATGTACTCTAATGTACTAATGTACCTGTCATTAAAGCCTTAGTATAATTTGAATAATGAGAAGATTCACTTCATATGGATCGCGCCATCGCCTGACATCTACGCAAATTAATAATAATGTTAGTTTTAGAGAATAAAAAGTAAGTTTAGTAAAAATTTTAATATCTGTGTTCTTTTCACAGACAACATTCTAGACTTATCCATATTTAGAGATACACGTATGTATGTAGGATGATACCGTTAATTTATATTCAGATAAGGTGCTAGTTATGTCGTTGTGGCGAGGCTTGGGGAGGGCCTATGTCCAGCATAGACGTCTGTGGGCTAAAAGATAGATTATGTAACAATGGAAATACAATATTTACACTGTTTTACGAATGTACCTATTGTTTCTCTAGGATTTCTTATCTATCTTTGTAGTTGTAGAGCAGGTATGGACAACCTTTGACGTGTTAATCTTTCGCGTTGTAGTGGGCCTCGCGTTGTGGTAGGTCTCGCGTTATAGTAGGCCCCCAGAGGGTGCCCCGCAGGACCCAGTCGAAGCCGATGTTCCACAGCAGGGGGCTCAGGACAGACCTGCGGAACACCGCGCTCGACGGGGAAGCGGTACACCGCCCCACTGTGTCAGACGCATTCGATCGACCTGTTTCCGAGATAGGAGCCGATCAGCCGGTGGAGGTACACGTAGACGCCACGATATTCGAGCGCCTCCGCGATCAGGGCAGAGTGTTGAATGCGTTCCGAATGTCCAGAGACACCGCCATTGCCACCCCGCCCCAGGTTACGGCTTCATCGGAGAGGGCACGCACGCGCAAAATCGCGTCGATCCAACGATCGATCAACAGCAACAGCGGCCCTCTCTGAAGCCGTACTGCTCCGCCGAAAGATCGGAAGCCATCTCGGTCAGGTGCCGGACGATGCGGGCCGCGACGATTCTCTCCAGCATTTTGCCCGCCTCGTCCAGCAATACGATGGGGCCATAGCCCGCGGGTGAGTCCGTGGGGCGCCCGTCCTTCCTCAGCAGGACCAGTCTGCCTGTCGTCCATTTCGACGGGAGCCGTCCCGACTCGAGGCACGCTTCAAAAAGCCCCCCGCGGAGCGGGAGGTACTATCCTGGGATAATAGTTTTCCAGCAGATGCCATTTTTCCATTTGTCGTCTTTGATTAACCAGAGGTCGGTCCCCTGGGGTCTGGTAGTACCCTCGGGACTGGACCTCTCCAGCCATTCATTCATCCATCGCCGGGCACCAGAGCTTAGGATTGGGGATTTTTTTAAAGAGGTTTACGTCCTTGCGACCCCGTGCCTCGCGGCAGCGGCCTCGATTCCCCCACGAGGATTACGGGTTGGCCGGCGGCCCGCCGAGTGTAATGAACAACAGGAAATAACACCGCCCAACGCTCAAGAGAGCAACAACGACGAAGCCACGCCGGTACACCGGTACCCCCCTCTGGAGAGCGTTTACCTATAGCCGAAGCCGGGGACATAGCGACCAGCGGCCGGAAGATGCGTAAGCAACGCCTACTCACTACTCCATCAAAAAAGCAGACCAAAAGCCCACCATCTCCAGTGGATCACGCCGAAAAAGGCTCGGACGTGCACCAAAACATAAAAGAAAGCAGAACAAAAAACAAAACAGAAAGAAAAACAACATAGAAAGAAAGACAATAAAATGTAAAACCAAAATAACAAAGGGGAAGAAGAAAGGGGACGGAAGGGGAAGGCCCAAGTGTCTCCAGAGAAACACCCTTCAGCCAGTGAAGGGCGTGGAGAACCCGGAACCCCCCCTGCTGGTTTTGGTCCCCGTCGCTCCATCTCTCCCGCCGTTACACGACGAGAGAGAAGGAGCGATAGCCCTGGGAGTGTAAATGCTCCCAAAGGCTCGTTATCCGCCACCTACGGACGCGCCCGGTGGAAGTCCAGCAAAACTCCCTCACAGACGGAGCCGCCCGCCACGCAGAGTGAGCGCCGGTGGGCCCGCCCGGGTGCTGGGGAGTATAAGTACCTTTTTTTTTGCCGAACCTACTACGAGGTTCCCTTGCCTAGGGGGCAAGCGGAGTATGTGGGTATTAGTCTGCGACTGCGAGACCGCGGGCCCAAGGATATTTTCAGGACCCTACCCACTAAACGACTCCCCTGCACTCTTCGCTCAAGCATCCGATCCCCTCCGAGGTCAGAACCCGGATGAGGTAAGGGGGTTACCGCGGTCAATACTACAACCAGACGGCGCAGCTCACCCCAAGGAGTCCTTTAATTCAGTGCTGTTATTATGAACACCACCGTTTTCAGAATACCAAGATTTATTAGGCTCGGATGATATCATTTCAACAACATATTATTAGGTACTGATATATGTATAAAAAAGCCATTTCTTTGCGCACGACGCTGCATAAATATATATTATGTAATTTTCTGCGGTTACAAGGATTATATTATTTTCCTTCAATAATCACCGGGCTTAGTGTTTATGGAAAACTTCCGTGAAGGAAAGACGTGTTTAGTTTCAAAATAAAATACTATTATTACGGTTGGCTTGAAAACGATTCCTGGTTTGAAATTGTTAGAAACGTTGGGTTGTATTGAACATTTTAATTACTTGAAAAACAAATTAAATTTGGTGTAATTGAAAACATAAACTTCCTATAATCCTATCTATAATCGAATATCTGTATCTATCAATCGCCTACTATTTGTTAGGAGGTTACCAGAGTCCATGGACATCAGATTTTGAGACATGATATTTCAGTACTTTAAGAATTATTGCTATCTTACCCTACAAACCAGAACGCAATATCATCTTCATTCGATTTTGTCATAGATAATATTATGAGAATTAGGAAACTATTTTACAACATCTGCCACTAGGTATAGGTAGGTATACACAGAGACTTCTTTCTTAATATGTTCTCGGACCTTAGGATAAACTCAATTATGTTTTGTTTATGTGAGTCGATGATATCAAGCTGTTTACCAACTATGGAAAACAGGAAATGACGCTAGTCCATTTAAAAAAACACCTACCAACCTTCATTGGTGTATAGCATGTGTTTAATTATTTTTTTTGGAATTTTTAAAGGGTCTTGTAATGTTTGTTTCTCACGACCTTTTTATTATTATCTGTTTATTTGTGTTACGTATACTGAAATGTGATGTTCAATGTTTTCAATTAGACATAGTGCATATTATGTCATGTATGAAGTATATCTAATTAAATACGACTATTTAACTATTATAAATACAAAAATATGTATTTTAAGAGTATCATAAATGCGATGTTTTCTGTTGTTTTTTTCCTTGTTTCGCGCATTAATATATTGATAATATTTTTGTTTGACAAAAAAAAGTTTACAAACTAGATAGTAAGAGAAGCTATATTTTTGTATTAAAAAAAGATGTACTTCATTATTTCATAAATGTAAAGAAGAAAATCGTGGCTGATAAATTTTGAAATGGTAATTTGAAAGAGATGTATTAGGTATTTGATTAATGTCAAGTTCTATTCGCCGGGATTATAAAATTAAAAAAAAGTATGAGTAAATTCGATTTTAAATTATATTAAATTTAAAATTAATAAATTCACTTTAAATTTCAATTTTAATTTTTTAATTTCGTGTTCTTCGCTATAACCGTTCTATGTGTGTTCATTCGTTCTATGACCAGTTTCTGTAGTCGCAATGGGTGCCCTATTGCTATTTCGGTCCCTTTCGGAGGTTTTTTTTTCTTAGAAATTTATAGAATGACCATCGCCTTTCTGTGGAAGTAAGCGTAGGCTTTCATTTCTTTAGAAGAAGTTTCCGGGAATTATTTCTTTTCACTAATTCTGTAATATATCTAACTAAACACTAATTCACTCGCTCTATCAGCTAGGCTACTTTTCAGCTCTATTTAGAAAAAACATATTTTTTTCCTTTATACGTTTGGACTGCGGCCACATCCACGTCTTGATTTTTTTTTTTTTTTTGCGCCACACACCTTGTGATATAAGTTCTAAGGTCTCGATATAGTTACAATGGCTACCCCACCCTTCAAACTGAAACGCATTACTGCTTCACGGCAGAAACAGGCGGGGCGGTGGTACCTACCCGTGCGGATTCACAAGAGGTCCTACCACCAGTAATTACGCAAATTATCAT